ACTTCCCAGCGGCCTTTAGGTCCTCCACAACAACAGAGTCAATGGATATTGTGGCTAGGTTGACAAGTCTGTCCTGTCCACACGTGTTCCTCAGATACGTTTTGATCCTTTTTAGACAGGAAAAGGAGCGCTCTGCTGATGTGCTGGTGGCTGGTATCGTGAGCATGAGCTGGAGCAGCTTGTAGACCTCGGAGAGTGTGCCCTGTAGGTCATCCTCAATAAGAAGCTGTATCAGCTCTCCTGGTGGCTTGTGAAACAACCTGTTGTTGTACAGCGTGTGCAGCTCATTCCTTAACTTCTGCTCATCAAAGAATGGATACGTGTTGATCAGCTGAGCCAGCTCACTGCTGGGAAATGCATCAGGGTTGCAGAACGATGTGAATGATGTGTGTTCCAGTATCCGAAAAAAAGTGCAGGTGCTCCATATCTGCAAATCTTTGGGTCATGTGCAACACTATGCCGTCAACAATCTGGAAGTAAAGACGCCGGAAAGACACAACCGTTTCCTCGTCTCCTTCTTGGTGCTGGTTAAACCCTTGCTCCAGGTCGTCCCAGCCGCGGCGACGTCGTTTACGTCGGGGCACAGGATCGCCGACTGCTTTGACCGTGTCATCGTAAATGCGACTGAATGTCTCATCTGTTCTTGTGGCTTTGAGAGCGCTGAGAGTGCTCATGATCCGATCCTGGCATTTTTTGATGTCCGCCGTCTTGCTTTGCAGAACCTGGAAGAGTGGTTCTGTGAGGCCGAAAATGGACTGAAAGACCCCGAGCAGGAAGGTGAAGTCAAAATCCTCAAGTTTTTGCTTCAAGGAAGCACTCTGTGCAATGGTCTCTTTGTCCCATCCCGGCTCTGTCATTATCCTGTCAAAAGCGATACAGAGCGACCCGCGTCCTTCATGGATGGCGTTTAAAATTCCACCTCACAGCAGAACCACCTGGTACACGCACAGCTCGATCAACTTCAGACAGTAGTGCTGATCTCTTACATGAACGTGAGAAAAAATTGTGGAAGGCATCGAGATTGGCAAAAAACAGTTTGGCTGCTTGGATGTTGTTTGTGCCTTGTGCTAAAACCAAATTTAATTTGTGAGCATAGCAGTGGATGAATAGCGCATTGGGGCAGTGTGCTTTCACTAAAGCCTGAACGCCACCGTGCTGTCCACTCATGCAGCTTGCTCCGTCATAAGTCTGACAAATCAGTTTGTTTGTTGGGCTGTAGTTCCCGATGGCTCTCATGACAACTGATGTTACAGCTTTTGCATCTCTTTCTAAGCTGACATCAAAAAAGCCGAGGAAACGTTCACACACACTGCCTTTTTCATTCACATATCTGATTATGATAGTGAGTTGGCACTTATTGGAGATGTCTGATGTGTCATCCACTTGTACAGCAATGAAAGGAGAAATGTGTATTTCTTTATCAGTCTCATCCTGGATACAACGAGCTATGCTCTCAATTATGTCATTTTGTATGGTGTTTGACATACCACTGAAGACTGTTGACGATCCCAAGTGCTCCGCGAGTGCAGTGTCAAACTCTGCAAATGCACGTACCAGCTCTACAAAATTGCCCCTGTTAGAGCTGCCAGCGGCCTCATTGTGTCCCCTGAATGCTTGCTCTTGACGTGCAAGGTACAGGGCAGCAATGATGAGTTTCCTCAGAATATCCCGGTTCTTTTTTACTTGTTCGTTGTGCTTCTTTGTGCTAATGGTTCTTGCTACATCCAGAGCCTCGTCAATCCTGACGCGTCCAAAAAGCTTTAATTTCACAGCACAATCTATATGATTTTTAGATTTACCGTGCCTCTCAATTGCCCGTGACAGGTTGGCAAGGTCGATGAATCCTGAAGTTGCCCAAGGATTGTTCAGGGAGCACGAACCCTTGTCAAAAAGAAGACATGGCCAGCAAAATAGACGCTGAAGTTTAGCGCTTCCAGTTAGCCACTCCGTGCGGACATAATTGTCCTCATTGAACGTCCGATTAGATCCCTTATTCCTCTGTGTACACAGCTCGAGTGTGGGCGTTGTCCTGCCATCTGCTTTAATTTTTAGTTGCTGCTGTAGCGGAAGTTTAGTGAAGTTATGCTTAATTAAGTACGCCAAATCTCCTCCCTCCATAATGCTTCATTTGCTTGATCATTTCTAACGGCGGTGATGACAGTTACAGTATTCAAATTGATGTTGATGTGATTGGATGGCAGTGTCCAATCAAATCGCCAGCCGCCAGCCGCCCCTGAAGGGAAGCTAGAGGCGGCTGGCTTCCCCTGGCATGGCCCTGACCAATCACAGGTTGGCAGGGGCATCACGTGGGCCTCATCTGATTGGTTAATCCCTCAATTTTTTTTCACCAAGGGAAGCTAGATTCTGCTGGCCTCCTCTCGCAACAGTGAATGCAATCTACTGTTTCACCATGACATCTAGAGGGGCGCTGTTTCACTCTTTGTAAAATACTCAATGAGAATGGGGGAGAGACGGAGAGACGGTCCGGCAGGAACACACAGGAAAGTAGAATTACAGAAACAAAACAAAGTGTTTTTATTTATTTATTTAAGTTATAACTACAATCCGAAAAAACAGGGGAAGCCTGGCTTCCCTTGGCCTCCGGGAGAAAACGCCACTGAGCCACACAGGTTTTAATAGGATGTATTCATTATCTTTACTTATGTTGCGGTCTTTTCAGCAGCGCCATCTCTAAAACGGCGATACACTCACTACCCATCATTTACATTTCACCGTGACATGGACAAAAATGTAACGTCAGCTTACCTCATGGCACAAATCCAGACTCTCCTTTGGAAAACATTGGCCAGGAAACGATAGAACGAGCACGTTTCATGCAAAGACCTGTGGCTGCAACCCGGAGCAAAGCAACAAACCATTGCGTAGCTAACTAGTAGCGCTAGCTTTAGCTAGCTTTAGCTAACGTTAGCTAACGTTAGCTAACGAAACAAACTGCCGAGTAAAATTGGAAAACACTGGTAATTAATTATTCTATAATTTGTAAAACTACGGTGTTAAAAACGACAATTTCAAAAATACAGATTCTAATGGTCAGATATAGATATACAGATACTAAAGATAGGCAGGTACTTGCTTTCAAGCAGAACACAGGGGAAAACAAACTTAGCGGGAGTGTTTACGTGTTCAGCGTAATGACGTACAACGGCCTCGACAATTTCTGTAGTCCTATTCAGCCACTCGGTAACAACCATCGTTTTTCAGACACGTCAACTCTTCAAAAATCACCAGTGGGGTCACTGCTGATGTATTTAATGTCGTAGAATAAAACGTGATTTATCTCTTAAATTTGTGTCAACCACAGACCTTATTTCGAGCTATTTTCCAAAACCCTATGGAGAAAATGCATTGCTTTTTGACGAAGGAACCGGAAGTGCTAAAAATGCTAACTTACTTCCGGGTTTTAGAACGCGTCACTGTGGTTCTCTATTACCTGTCCTAAAGAGTGTTATGAAGGTTTTTATGCATGTAAACGGTCTGCAGAGTAAAAAAACCTCACAGTACACCCTGTAGGGAGTAAAACTCTAACACACAAAATGCCTCGTTGGAGATTTCTCATTTTCTTCCTGGGTACTATGACGTGGGGATACCCAGAGGCCACACCCTCTGCCAGCCTTTCACGAAACAAAGCTTCCCAAACCTTTCAGGATTAATGCCGGATATGTACAGCGTAGGGCACTGAAGAACGATGCTGTTCCTACTTTGTTTGGACCAGCGGGAGATTCGGGTACACAACCTGTCAGTATTCATTGTTGTTTGTGTATTTATGATGTTTAAAACAAACAAGGTATCTACCACGACTGTTTAAATGGGTAAACGTTTCTCGGGCTACTAAGTTGGGATCGTGGAGAAATGCTCTCCGCAGACCCATTCTCACAGCGTTATAAACCTTTTTCTTACTCAATATCAAGCCACACTCATTGTTTTTACTTCGGCTGTGAGTGTTTGTGTGCTCAGGATGAGTTTCGCTTGTTCTCGCTGTATCGCCGAGAGGCTCGTTGCTGCGATCTGCTGCGAGGAGCGGACAGGCTTCCGCTCCTCGCAGCCGATCGCAGCAACGAGCCTCTCAACGTCCCGACCAATCAGAGCACACTGGGCTCACAGGGAGGGGGGGCAGGAGCTCCAACAAGCCGTTTAGGACAGAGAGTGAATACCGGTGAATACACATACTTTACAGAGATGCTGTATGAGAAACCAATGTGAGTTTGGAAAATTGCACAGTATACATCTATTCTAGTAGACCTCAACAATGGAATTATGATCAGTAGAAATGGCCATGACATGGGACCTTTAATGCATTAATGGTTTTTTTTATTTGAAAAAAGGGTCCCCACCACTAACTAAGTGGTGGGGACCATGGTTAGATCAATATATAGACGCAAGGCCTAATCCTTCTCTTCTGCACCATTTAAAATGCTGTATTATAAAATGTTTGTGTTTTTGATTAACATTTCACATTAGAAGATATGCATACTGACCAAATTGCTAGCTGTGTTGTACATGAACCATATTTTGTCATTTGAAATTTGGTTAAATAATTTGGCCCCATGCTGTGTTAAGGTGATCGGTAAACTGCTAAGAGATGAGTTGGAAATGTCCCGCCCCTTAGCCTATCAAGCACAATGTGTTGGAGCGCTACTCAAAAGAAATGTGAGTCTAACATAGTAATGTCATAATGTTACAGAAGTAAACAAATAAGTCCAATGGAGGCGAGGGGGGGGGAGAGAAACTCACTCTGGAGGGAACACAGGGATTTTAGCCTTTGCAGACCATTTACATGCACTTAAACCTATACAACATACAGAAGATGGAAAACCACAAAAAGCAGAATGCCTCTTTGAATAATCTTCAAACTAATCTACAAGGTTGTACCTACATCTGATGTGTAAATTAAACCTATGGAGAGTAACATTGGGATAAATATAATTTTCCATTTCTCTTTTTCATTGTCCTTCACCTGCCTGAATGCTGCTCGGCCCCAGCTTGTTGAAGGGGAGAGACAGCGATGGCTTCCCTCAGTACCAGGAGAAGTTCATTCGGGACTGTATCAGGAAGTTTCCTTATTGTGAGGCCACACTGCTTCAGGAGCTGGTGAGGAGCATAGCACCGGTAGAGATTGTAAGTGAAGAACATATCAGAGAATTTAAGTGTAATATGCAGTATATCATTTTTAACAGAATACCATGGTAAGCATAAATGAGGGAGAATGATGTTAGAACAGTTGTTAAATGAGTGGTGCAGGAATGAGTCCTCAAACCCAACATTGAGTTAGCATTTTATTACATCTGGTTTCCTTGTTTTTTTTGTTGTTGACTGAAATAAGGTACGTGGTTAACAAAGGCTTCATATATTTTTAGTTAACATATTCATTAAAGACATACAATGAATCATTAAATACCCTCTCATAGATATCTAAAGCTTCTATGTGTCTTAGGAACAACAGTAGCTAACACGTAACTAAATGAGACTCTCAAACGTCATCCCGCCAAACATTAGCCATCTTTAGCTTAGCGGTGGTGATGTGCAGCCATGAGACTGTGATGTAGTTCATTTATAGCCTAACTTCTGCTTTTTACTTCTGGGGATCATATTTTACGCTTTACACAGAGGTGGTGTTAATACGACAAGATGGTCCTTCTTAACAAAACTTGGGAATACCATGAACCTGTGTTTGCCACAGATCTTATTTACTCCAATATTCCGAATTCCTTTTAGTCGGGGCAGCCCTTACAATGCTAACTTCAAGGTCGGGCTACAAATTCGACATCACTGCATCACTCTATAGAAGTTGATGATAAAAGGTTACTAAGTAATCCTTTTTCTTTTGTATTGGTTTGTCTAATAACTTGACCTAATAACTAATAACCCCATCATCTTATTTCCAGGGAAACGACCCCACTGCGTTCTCGGTGTTGAACCAGGCCATCACTGGTCAGATGGCGTTTGTAGATGCTAACTACTGTGCTACGTGTGGGGAGAGGGGAGCAGACAAGAGATGCTCCCTTTGTAAAGCAGTGAGTGAATGCCCCCATCTCTAGTATAATGCAATGGTGTCAACTCTCAGGAAGGAACTACCCCCAGGTCACGTTTTATTTCATTTGTCTTTAAGGTGACTTACTGTAGCTTATCGTGCCAAAAGCTCCACTGGTTCGCCCATAAAAATATGTGCAGGTGTCTACAGGAGCAGGATGCTGACCTGGAGAAGGATTCTCCAAAGCTCAAAGAACTGAAAGGTGTGTAGAAGAATCTTCTTTTAAGAAAAAATCACTCTGATTCCATATGAAGAGAATAATCTTCTACAACGATGATTATGATGAGCTTGAGGCTGTGTATCAGAGAGAGAATTCACAGCACTCACTAAATCTCATCTGCTGTTCAACATTTAGAGCCAACTAGGGCAGATTGAAACAACAGGTTGAGGGCGGGGCCTAATCAAAGGGTCTGAGTGAGTGAAATCCCAAACATGCAACATGTTTGAAAGTTAGCTCCTTGTGCCTTATTTTTTGACCAGATGATGCGCTGTTCAGCTAGCAAAAGTGGAGTTGGACAAGCCTTGAATTACTTGCATTATGTGCTTTGAACCATGCGCTTTTGGTCATTCAATAATGACCCTTAATGTGGGCCCTGATGTGATATATGTTTGTAGTATAGTTACATTTTTGCTTAAAATGTTGTGTTTTGAATTTGAGCTATTTAGTTGGGATGCATGACACATTTTCGGATATATTCTGATAAACAAGTCAAATCAAATCAAGTAAAAAAAAAAAAAGGTATATTGTTGGAGATGGATTTAAGTTTTGATCCACTTCAGAATTACTATAATTTATGGTTAAACCCAATATCCTGTTTTATAAATGTAATTTATAGCAGCAACACACTGAAGTCTTAAACTAGTGCTGCACATCAGGCTGCTGTGTTATTGACAGTCTAGTGTGCCCTCTTGTGGTAAATATACCACAGTCATAATTAAAGGTACAGGCAGTGGTGGACAGGCCCTCACACATCCATACCATCAGGGTTAGTACCAGGACTCCTGTGGCCGCAGCAGTGAATTGGCGTGAGCGTTGCAGTCGTAATGAACATTACTTACTGAATGGAGTGTGATGCTCTAGAAATGACATTGTGAATCTTGCAGCACCTCTGGTGTCCACTATGTGGCGCTAAGGAATATGTGCTAATTCCATTAGCAGGCTGCATGTCATTTCCATGTCAATTGACTGATGTTTGTCACATAAACCTGACTAAACATTCCCACAACCCAATGTTGACCTGTAAAAGTCTTTGGGTCGCCTGCATAATCTGCCTGGAGGAGGACGTTAAAGGGCCAAATGCTATGTGGCGCTATGTCAATGAGTGTATATTGGCATGCAAATATCTTCAGGATTGGTCTCTGATCTTCCATAAGAAATCTGAAGCATATTTGAGAATAAATGCTTGAGTTACAGCAACTTCCTTTTTTACAGCCAATGGCGCTTTTTCTACACCACGTCATGGCGTGGCTGTTTAATGTAGACTAAAGCTTTTAATAACTTTTTAACCTCGTGGTCTTAAGACTTACTGACTTAATTTGAAGTTGTTTGGATGAAAACCGTCGGAGGAGTTGGTGAAAAAAAGAAGCTTTTTTGTGCGTCTCACCAAGCTACATATACCTACCAAATCTCTAAGTGAACCTGAGCGGGGGGCTGCCTTTTGGCAACTTTGCAGGGAGCGTATAGAGCTTTTTACAGAGCTTTTTACCGACACCCCGAGAACGAGCCCTCTAAATTATTAACATTTTCACCAGTCCTGATTATCCTGCCAACTTACATGTTGGGTAAACTTTTAGGTCCTCAAAAATGTGATTCATTTTTGCTACAAAGAGAATCAATCTTGAGGGATTTCAAAAGGTCCTCTGCTCTGACTCGCTGCTCGGGCCCTTATCACTCGGTGTGTTTCTGCTTTAGATGATGAGAGCGACCTGGTGATGGAGACAGCCAACTTCCTGCAGGAGCTGTGTCTGCGGGCGGAGGAGCAGGTGGCTGCTGCTGGAGGCTGCCCTGCAGAGCTCCGTGCCTTCCCCCCCCCTCTACTGAGGGACCTTCATTCACCCAAGACTGAGGCAACAGCCCAACAGGGGCCCTGAAGGAGGCCTGTGAATTTTCACAAAAGTTATAAATGGCTGAACATAAACCATCTTAGCAATAACATGCTCCAGTGGCAGCTGCAATAAGTAGAGGTATTTTCAAAATGTATAATAAGAAATATAATAAATTCATGCTAAATCTGATCAGGGAATATGAGAAGCATAAAGTATAATGTTGCTATTTCAAGCATTTTCTGGGTGGAACAGTTCAGTACTGTAAGGAGTCCATTTGGATTCATATTAATAACCTCAACAATTGTATCAAAACATCTTTAAAATGGTGACTTCTTTCTCCTGTTTTTCGTTCTGTAATGTTATGATATTATCATTTTCTTAGCAAGAAGCCTCAGAACAGACTAAATGTGCATGTAGACCGAAAGGTCCGTCATATCAATAAGGACATCAGAAGAATAATGTCCTCCATTTTTGTCCCAATTAAGGTGTTGAACAGCTGGCTTTTTCGGTTTTATGATAAGGTAGAGTTGTTAAAATAAAAACTAGAACCTGGTCCTCCTGTTCCTTCCAACCTTTAACAGCAGGGGGAACCGCTCAGTTCGTGTTGGGCCGAGGACCTTTGTTCCACATTTCTCTCTCTCTCTTCACTTCCTGTATCTCTTTACTGTCACTACCTAATAATGGCCTAACATGGCAATACATAAGGAACTCTTCAGAACCTAACATTATTTGACCATTAGCTTGCCTTGGTGGTAGAGCATTCTCTATACTGGTAAGAATGAATGATGACAGACTGTTGGTTACCATGTGATTGAGTGAGCCCAGGGCATTAGAGACCATCGAGATATTAATGTGCATCATTTGCAATACAACACATAATAATGTGTCAGTTAATAACATAAAAGGTTCAAAATGCCATAGAGTGTGCTATGTGCAAAATATAAATAATCAGGTTGTGAACCGCACAGTGGTGTAATGTGACAAAGTACATTTACTCGAGTACTGTACTGAAGTATTATTTTGAAATGATAATTTCCTTTTTATTTGACCTCTACTCCACTTCAGAGTAAAGATTGTACTTATTATTATAGTTACCAGTTATATTCTACATAGAGAAACGTGCTTTCATGATACAATGCAGTACTATACTACTTATCTATCTTTTAATATATCAAATCAAACAAATTGGCTCAATTTTGACAAACTACAAGATTAAAAAGCTTGTACAGCTCATTCGGCTGACAATACTCCTGTACTTGTATTTTTAACTTTAACTTAAGTAAAATGTTGAATTCAGGATTTCCCCTTGTAATGGAGTATTTTGAGTAAAGGACAGGATCTGATTACTTTATCCTCTGAAACTGCAGTGTACACAGTTGTCTTTAGACATAAGCCATTGCATATATATACATATATATAAAGTATGGTAAAGTAGGAAAACACGTTGTTTATTTCTGTGTTTAGGATACGACACAGCTTTGTAAAAATAGTCCTTCAGTCACAGCTACACTGTGTTCTGTGTGTCATCTTGGAAATGCTGGTATTTTTTGAAGTAATGTGCATTATATATTTTGTGGTTTATGTTTTTTGTTGTTAAAGTATCCACGATCATTGTAGTAAAATTGTAGAATTGAAGAATGTAATATTGCTTTTCTAATGATGAATGACGTTTGCCTTCATCCCAAGGACTGTTCCTGCTCAGTGTCAGGTTATTGGGGTCAAGTCTGCCACAGAGAACACACATCTTATCAATGTAATAATCCAATACACAAAGTGACTAAATGATGCTGATCTTATTCTGTATCTGTTGGGAGGGTTATTACAAATGTATTCCGTTCAAATTAGAAGTTAGCTGTAAGAAAAATATAAATATAAAGGTAATGTAACCTGATGCCTTTCTGATCTTTTTGGATTACCTCCATATTAATGCAATGAAAATAAATAAAAGAGAAAATAAATATCAATAAGATGTTTTTTACTTAAAGGTGGGGTAGGTAAGTTTGAGAAACCGGCTCGAGATACACTTTGTGTTATACTCCATGGAATGCTCTTAACATCCCGATAGCCGGCCCGGCTAAAGTAACTGGATGGCCTACCTGCCTGTCAGCCTTCCATCTGTGCACAAAATTATCTTGTGCCCTCATTGGTCATGTGCGCGTTAGTGTGTGTTGGAGGAGGGGCTCTGTAAGGAAGTGGCAGATTTTTTCCGGCTGTGTATTTTCAAATTCTAGCGATCTCGAGCTGGTTTCTCCAAAATTACCTACCCCACCTTTGATTGTGTTTATGTAATGTTACTTAGAAAAGAACAAACCAAGATATTTAGGATGAAAATGTATTTTATTTATAGATAAAAGCATATTCAGGCAGTAGCCTACACACCAACACATGAAGATAGATAGAATAGGGAGGGATGAAACCCTCTTTAATGGTCACACATGCAGAGCACACAGCACACAGTGAAATGAGTTCTCTGCTTTTAACCCACCCTAGTACCAGGAGTCTAGTACTAGGAGCAGTGGGCAGCTATTGTACAGCGCCTGGGGAGCAATGGGAGTGTGGGGGGAAGGGGGTGTCCGGTGCCTTGCTCAAGGGCACCACGGCAGGGCCCAGGAGGTGAACTGGGACCTCTCCAAGTAGCAGTCCACACTCCATATTTAGGTCTGGTCAGGGACTTGAACCAGCGACCCTACGGCTCACAGTCCAAGCCCCTACTGACTGAGCACATCCTACAGTTTCAAAAAGCAGGAATCAAACCTGAGCTGACAGGAAATGCTCCGTTTTAGTTTAATACACACAGTTAAGCTCACACACACTATTTTATGAACATACAGGTTCACCTGCTGAATTAAAAACAGAACAAATGAAGCAAAGAAAGTGAAAACCATGAAGCAGATTCAGGCAGTAGAAGTATAGACTCACTCTTAAAGTGTTAGCCTACAGAACAGTACAGCTTACAGAGAAGAGAGAACATCTGATCCTTTACAACAAACACTAGATGCTCTTTTTAGGTATTAATAACTGTAATCCTGATTGTAGTCTAACTATTTTTAGAAATGTAACTGTAATCTTAGTGCATCTTTTGTTAAGTAACTGTGAGGGAATACAGTTACTTTTTTAAAATCCTGATTGCATAATCCCAATCTAAGTAGCCTGTTACTCCCCAAGCCTGTCTGTTGGATATGTCATTAGAAAACAGAAAAAGATGAAATATCGCTGATATAAAACCGCTATGGTCCATGTCTCTTAGACAGTTTGTTTATTGGATTTAAAATAGCTTTTCTAAATAACTGGTAACTGTACATCCGGATTGTATTGGTCAGTAACAGTGGTGAAATGCTGCCCCCTATTTGAAGCAGGTGGCTTGGTAGTACACATTGCACCTTTTAAAGGGGAAAACACAGTGAACAATCAGAGTGCTAGGTTGTTTTGGAGTAACTCTGATTGTAAATGGTCTGCAAAGGCTAAAATCCCTGTGTATCCTCCAGAGGGAGTTTCTGTCCCATTCACGCTATAAATGTCATGATTAGTATGTGAGTCATTCTACATATTAGTAGCATGTTAGTTACATTTAGCATAGGCTATTTCGGGCACATTTGGTGATTTTTGTATTACTTGTATGCAGTGGGGGTTCTACGGGGTGGCAGCTAGGGTGGCAGCTGCCACCTCAGAAAAATGCCTTGCCACCCCAGCTGCCACCCTAGTTGGCAGCTTTGTTTTGAAAGAAAAGTTGTGGCTCATCGGACATTTATGAGAGAAAATCTCTAATGTCCGAGTGCAAGTGAATGCAGCACAAGACTTACGTCTTGTAACCCCTCCCCCGGCCCTGGCGCGAGCGTGGAAATATGATTGGCGGCGATTTCATTTGAACGGGGGGACGGCGCAAAACGAGAAGCATTTCGGATCCAAGTAGCCTACTGAAGGAATGAGGTATTTGCGGTCTACAATGACACAGAAGAGACTGTCAAGTTTGGCTGTACTCAGCATTGAATCAAAACGCACCATAGCTTTAAATCTTAATCAGTTTGTGAGGCCTTTTGCTGAACAAGATGGTAATCGCCGCATTCAGCTGTTATAGCCAACTTGATGCTCTGCTCACGGATGACTCGATGAGAATAACAAACTGTTAAGATGATGACCTTGTGTGTGTGTAAATATATTTTTTTCTTTGTGGGGGTCTGCCCCCAAAAAACAGTTTCAAGTCCTGAGAAAGTCAAATAAGACGGTGAGTAAAACTACACTGCCCAGCCAAAAGAAAGTAACCACTTTGATTGAACTAGGCCAGTAGGTAAGGACTTTCCACTGGATAATAACTGCAGCGATGTTTATGTTTTAGCTGAATACACGTTTTTTAACCCTAACTGATGCAGTTAGTCACTTCTTTAGTGTTTGTTCTTTCTGATGTAAAGTCAAGGTTGTAACTGTTTGCAATGAAGTCGTGGGGCACTGAACTGTTCTTTTGGATCTTTTGATATATGATAGTAATTTGTCTTTAACATTTGAAGGAGGGTGAGCAAGCATCTTGAGGAACATTCATCATTAACTCCTCCAAAAAATATAGTTTATTTAATAATAACACTGAATATGTGAATCATAACAGTGATTGACAGCTGATAGGAATGATATGATTGTTAATAGTATCATATTAATTTAGACAAACATCGATGAGACAGTTAATGCATGTACTTATTGCAGCAGTCTGCATAGATTTGGTTCCCCTGCTGGTCTAAGAGTGAAACAAACTCATTCAGTTATTGTTCAGTTACAATTCATTAAATTAAGTCTGCCACCTCATATATTTATATGTAAGGTTTTACTGATGTGCCACAATAATGTCACCTAATGTTATTCAGTTAAAATATCAATTTGTGGCTTTCCAACATAACATTAATTGATATGACTGCAATTAAATCAGCATATACTTCTGCCAGGGGATGCCACCCCTGAAATTATCCTGCCACCCTCTTGCCACCCCATGAATATTTTTCTAGATCCGCCCCTGGTTGTATGTAACATTTTATCAAACGTATGACTATACATCTACTATTTCCAGATAAATAATTCAATGCATATTTCTGTTTATTCCAGCTTTACTCCTTCGCTGTATCATCACAATCGACAAGTCTACAGTAAAGCTGGAGCTTTAAATCAATTTCCTGTCTGTTGTTTGATTATTTGGGATGGACTATTTGGAGGACAGTAAAATGTCCCTTAGTGGGATTTGGAGATGGCTCCTGATTAGAGATTTGTTTTAAACATTCATTCAAGAAATGTGTTTTAAACATTCATTAATTTCCCATAACCTTTAACTTTGATGTATTGACTAAACCGACAATCTAGATATTAATTTTATGACCGTTTGAAGACGTAATGACAAGATAAAAAAATGGCTCCTCCTCAGCTTTGTATTTTCACACGTGAAGAACATCCTTCGGCGATGCTTTGGGTTTCTGTGGAGCTTTGCCTTCACTCTGACTGCATTGTTCCTCATTTTACACAGCTCTGCTCCCACGGGAGCACACTGACCTGTCACTACGTTCCTAGGCATTAGCATCAAGCATGGCTACTGTCACACTGATTGTTAATGGGGTCACAACTGTAGCCCCATCCTCCTGTTTTCACCCTATTATTCCCTCTTCCCTTATCTGGGTGTCACACTCACTCTGGACCGTAACCAAGCACAAAAGATTGATCTCAAATTTCCGGTTCCTGAGATGTAAAAATTAGCAAACGCTCCGTCCGATCAAATAACGTCTTTGAAGCCCCCAAGGTTCTTTTTTTTCTCAGCTGCTACTCATCCATATCTCCACCTCGATGATGTGATGTGACAAACACAGCTTTTTTAGGGTAATAGGAGATCATTTTGAGAGCAAATGGGGGAGAAGTGGCAACAAAGAGGAGACAAGGAAAGTTGGAGGAAAGTCATTGTCAGAGGGCCCTGGGAAAGGCTTGTAAGAGGACACCTTTGGTCCAGGGGCCAACACTCGGCAGGATAAAGGTGGAGCGGAGGCTTTGTCTGGCTACTGTATGATTTGGATAATGGACATACGAATACATCATGATGATGAGCTCATGCACTCATACTTGGCTGGATGAGGCTAAGTGAAGAACTCCAATATCAACAGAGAATTAAATGATCCAGAGAATTACTGTACATTGGAATTACTCACCCCTCAACTATGCTATCAGCAAAATCCACACTAAGGACATTGCATCCCATCAGAGTCAAAGTCTGTCTTTGTGAAACCATACAAAGTTGCTCTGAATCATGATACAGCCTGAAATGAGGATTTACTGTAAGTTTTGGAATACATGTCTTAATTCAGTATCTGATTCTGATTGGTCCATTTGGACATTGAACAGTCTGCTGTTTTTGTTAGCAGACTGTTGCTGAGGACGCTCTGATCAATGTGGAGTCATATCAGTCCACAGAAAGAAGTCTGGTCAACTTAAGGCAACCCTGTCTCCTAAAAATTCTGTTCCCACAGAACTAAACTGCATTCTCAATTACATTTAGCTAGAAAAATATTTTCTCCCACATTACGTTTGTTATGAACATATCTTAAATACGTTTATTTTCTACATATATTTGCCATTTTTAACCGGAAGTAGGTCACTTCACTTTGTCTTCTTCGTCCCTTTTACGTTCCAGACAATGCATGGCTCAGCGTAACAGACTGAACAGCGACCCCAGGTGTGTCTACATTAGAATTACATCTTCATTACTGAAGGAAAAATACTTTACCTAGTGTTTGTTAACTGGGTTTTTAATGCAGTTGGCTTTTCTTAATGGTTACAATATTGCTATGAGTTATAT